GGCAGCTGCCATGTGCAAGCTGCCTTGCCTCCAGCCCTCGCCCCCCGCCACTCTGCTCCTGGGAGGTAGCAGTGTGGGGTGGTGGGTGGTGGTGCTCAGTCCCCACCTGCCCACACGTCCCCCCTAGCACCTTTCCACATACCCCTGGGTGACAACCTCTGCTCTACAACTCTGGGCTGGGGGTGAGAGCAGGGGGTGTTGGGAGCTCGTACACCTGGGTTCTTCCCAGATCAGGGTGTCGAGTGGGTTTGGAGGGGCATGGCCAGGACTCCTGGGTTCCAGGGGCGGAGGCTGCAGCTGGGATCCAGGCCCCTTTGCCCCTGGAGGTGGGAGCCTGGCAGTGGAAGGGTTAAGAGGAACCTTCCCCTCCCCCCTTGAATCCATGTGCCTGGGAACCCAGGCATCCCAGCTCTCAGCCCCCCTCTAACCACTGCCTCACTCCCCTCATAGCCAGGGCTGTAGGAAGCCCCTGGGCAGAGCAGCCAGGACGGGGGCCACCCCCAGACCCTTGCCTTGGAGCCCCTGGGCATGAGAAGGACCCAGGTGTCCGAGCTCCTGGCACCAAACCCTCAGACCCTGGAGAGGGAACCCAAGCGTCTAGGAGCTGGTCTGCCCGGGGTCATAGGTTACCTGGTGCCAGCTTCATCCTGGCTGGAGCAGGGACTGGCTCCGGCCCAGGGGTTCGTACAGCACCCAGCGCAGCATTGATCCTATTCTCATAAACAAATTAGACAGCTGTGTCACAGACGATTACTGTCAGGTGGGTGGCAAACTGGCTTACGGGTTGTACCCAGAGAGCGGCAGTGGATGGGTCGGTATCGACGTGGAAAGATGTGGGCAGTGGGGTCCCCCAAGGCTCACTTCTAGGGCCGGTGTTGTTCAATGTCTTCATCAGTGACCTGGATGAGGGTGTGGAAAGCACACTGTCCAAATTTGCAGATGACACCAAACTTTGGGGTGAAGTAAACACTCTAATGGGAAGAAACTGAATCCAGGCGGACCTGGACAGGTTAGAGAAGTGGGCAGAGAACAATAGGATGCAGTTCAACAAGGAGAAGTGCAAGGTGCTGCACCTAGGGAGAGGGAATCACCAGCACACCTAGAGGCTGGGCGATGACCTTCTCAGCAGCACAGTGGCAGAAAGAGATCTCAGAGTCATTGTTGACTCCAAGATGAATATGAGGTGGCAATGTGTCAAAATAATTAGCAGAGCTAACCGCACTTTATCATGCATTAGAAGGTGCATCACGAACAGTCCCAGGGAGGTGATACTCCCCATCTATGCGGTGCTGGTCAGGCCGCAGCTGGAGTACTGCATCCAGTTCTGGGCATTGCAATCCAAGAGGGACGTGGCCAGCATGGAGAGGGTCCAGAGGAGGGCCACGCGTGTGGTTAGGGCCTGCAGGGATGACCCTATGAGGAGAGACTGAGGGACCTGGACCTTTTCAGCCTCCGCAAGAGAAGGCTGAGGGGGGATCTTGTGGCCATACATACAGTCACCAGGTGAGGGCAGCAGGGAATAGGAGATGCTCTGTTCACCAGGGCACCCCTTGGAATAACGAGGAACAGCAGCCACAAGCTGACAGAGCAGATTAAGATTGGACATCAGGAAGAACTTCTTCACGGCCAGGGTTGCCAGCATCTAGAATAGGCTCCCAAGGGAGGTGGTGCTCTCCCCTACCCTGGGGGTCTTCAAGAAGAGACTGGACAAGCACCTGGATGGGGTCACATGACCCCAGCACTTTTTTCTGCCACTGGCAGGGGGCTGGACTCAATGATCTATTGAGGGCCTTTCCGACCCTAATATCTGTGAATCTATGAATCTTTCCCAGGGATCGAGCTGGCATCCAGGCCCCCTTTGCCCTGGGAGGCGAGGGGTGAAGAACCAGGCACCCCTATCTCAACCCACCTCATTTGCATGTTATTTGCATGGGGGCATTTTGGGGTGAAACCCCCTGAAAAAGGGGCTGCGGGGGGTGCCCTGTGCTTGCAGCTGGAGCAGGCCAGAGGGGCCCAAGTGCTCAAACCATGGGGCAGGGGGGCTGGAAATACTCGTTTATTCTGTCAGCTTAACTAGCGGCAGCACCCATGCTTTGCAGACCCTCTTCTGGACCCTCCGACATGTCATAAATGTCCAGGCTCAGGCCCCTCTGTGAAACCCAGCGGAGGGCACTGAAGTGGCTGTCGGATGTCATATCTGGCCCCTTTAACGCCCCGGTGAGCCCTCAGCTGCGCTCACCATGTTCAGGGTGCAATTGTGGGGGCTCCCAACACCCACACTGAACCTCAATGGATTTGTTGGCAAAGGAGACCAGGAGCCCCCAGCCGGGGCCAGGGACCCAGACACTGCAGGTGTAGACACCTCCGTGGACAGCGCTGGCACCGAAGACATGCAAATCCTACCTGGTTTCCTGCAGCCACTCATCCCCATGGGATAAGAGGTACCTGGACACGGGTGCATGGCGGGGAGGCCGCACAGTGCAGGGTGAAGGGCACACCTTCCCGCACCAGACGCATCTCTTCCAGCTGCTGGATCCCGACCTGCAGCTCCCCTGGGGAGACGCATCCCAGCCGCCCCAGACCACCCCGTGGGCAGCGCTGAATTCTGGGATGACCGAGCAGGGCAGAGATGGGGCAGGGGGTATGGGGGACAGAGCCAGCTCTGGGGCCATCCTCTCCTCACAGATGTGGCCAGCAGGGCAGACGGGACCTACTTACCTGTCACATATTGCTGCATGGATCCACTACTTAACTGCCGTTCGCTACCACAGCCTTTCTGAATCCAGACCCAGTTGGTGCCCTGACCCTCTGGGCACAGCACCACGAGCTGCAGAGAGCAGTTGTCTGGCTGCTCACTGAAGGACTGGGTCTGGCCTTTGAAGGCCACGTCAATCTGAGCCTCAGCCGGGTGATGTGTGATGATGGATCCGTTCTGCATCCACCACACGGCTCCGATCCTTTCCCCCTGACCCCGAGAGATGCTGTAGTTTCAGTCGATGGTCACACAGGAGCCCTCCTGTCCAGACACAGGGTCTCACGGCAGGGCCACACCCCAGTCCCCAAGGCTAGCACCTGGTGGGGAACAGAGCAGCTGGGGATCATGGCCTGAAGCCAGCCTGGGTGGGGGGTGGCAGGGGGTGACAAGGGGCAACCCCACCACCACCCCGAGCGAGCCAGGAGCCCTAATCCCCTGGTCACCTCCCACAGGAGCCTAATTCTCATGCGAAGGGGAGAACCCAGGTGTCCAGGTCCCAGGTCCAGGGGAGACCCCAGGTGTAGCAGGGAGTCAGAGTTTGCCCCTGCTATGCTTGTTCTTCTTCTTTTTTTTAATAAGGAACCTAGACACAAAATCACACATCAAAATATACAACTCATAAAGTACACAGCCCCATAAACATAACAGACAAATCCATACCGAGAATCATTATACAACAATAATACTATTAAATAAAACAATTATACAAATATACATCAAATCAGATAGTTTTCTCTAATTATGTGAAAACTTATTTACATCAAATTACATACAAAGTTATGATATACAAAACAAATTCTGCAAGTGTTGTTTTACCAACAAACAACTCTTATTCCTCATATATAGTAGCAGTATAATCTCCCCAAATCCCACACAAACCCCAAAACTAAAAAACATCCATCAAAAGGCCCAAATTATAAAGAAAGCTTAACCATAACTATGTTTTTATCCCATCACCTCACTGTTCCCCATCCCCTGTACATTAACCCACCTCACTCAACACCACTCAGATCAAAGAAAAGATTCCACTTTACTCGTGCCCATGTACCATCTCCCCTTCTCCCACTAATTGCCGTACCCCCTTTCTCCCTATAAAACTGTAATTCAGAAAAAGCTAGTTGCAGATGTTCCTTAACCAAAAAACACAACCCCTTTGTGACAATAAGCACCGCACTTTCCAAATAGCAATTTTAATGCACAGTATACAGACCCTCACCTCCCACTCCCCTTCATCCACTAACCCATACACCACATTCTCAAAACTAATAGCTTGACAACATCCCATCACCCTAAGAAAACGATGCACCTGCCCCCACACCCATTGCTCAAGGAACCATTCCCACAAAACATGATACGCCATTTCCTCCCGCCAGCACAACTCCCTTGAACTGATCTCGCTAGACCCCTTCTATGTTGCATCTCCCTGACCGGAAGGATCTGGCGCACCACCCTCCACACAAAGTCTTTGTGCTCCCTGTGGCAGGTCAGTAAGTGGTGCTCTTGCGCAAAGCCACTCGCCTCACTACACCTGGCCAAAAATCATGCTCTGAGTGCCTCCCCTGGGGTGCCTCATGTCTGGCCGACCCCCTTCCTGCAGCACGCCCATTAGCCTGGGGTACCGCTGCCACCACCAGACTCAGGTCTTTGCCTGAGCCCTGTGCTGCCTGGGATACACAGGCCCTGTAGACCTTGGGATTTTGGGGTGCTCCTATTAGCCTGAAGCATTCACCAGCAGCCTCCTGTATGGGAGGAAAGTAAAACAGCCGAGCCCACCTTAGCAGGTCCCTTCCCTCTTAAACATGCACAGCAAGGCGTGCTAAGACTGATACATTTATTGATCAAAGAGGGATAGGGTGGGGAAGGAATACCAGTAGCAGCATATAGAAA